AAGACTGTGGTAACTAGATTGTTTGCTTATGAATAGATCACTCTGTACTTAGGATGAGAATCAGAATTCTGGAAACCAGACCTAATTTGACGATTACGTACATGGTGGGGCTGGCCATGAGCTTAGATCCTTCCCTACACAAGCAGGGGTCTCAGGGAGACCAGGCAGCAGTAGGAGGTTTTGAAAGCCTGAGCCAATATTCTTCTCTCTCCGGGGCATTTTCACAGCCCTTCTCTGACTTCCCTGAGCTTGGTTCCTATAGGCGAGAACAGATTGAGTCATCCCAGGCTGCCATGCAGGACCAGGAACGATATGAAGATTCCCACCTAGGGGGCTACCGGCGGATCTACCCTGGGCCTGACTCAGAGAAATATGCACCCTTCTTCAAGCACAATGGCTCTCTCTTCCAGGAGACTGCTGCCTCCAAGGCCAGAGAGGAGTGTGCCAGGTACCTTGGCTGCATTTTCCTTTGTACAGGTGGGTTGGGTGCAAATCCTGAAGTTAAACTGCTCCCCAGCAGGGAAAGAGCACATACTTTCTCAAGCACATACTTGAGAAAGGAGAAATAGAGCAAAGAATTCTAACAGGCTTTCTCCGCATCCAGGCACATACATACATGCCTTCACTTGAATGTATGATGTGTGTGTATGCACATACATGCATGTAGAGGCCAGAGGACAACCTTGGATGTTGTCCCTCGCTGTTCATCTTGTTGGTGTGTCTTTACATATGTAAAGATCACATTTACTTATTTTTGTATGTACGTATGGACATGTGTACATGTGCGTGTGTACGTATACCATGGTGCACATGTGGAAGTGAAGTGAACTTTCAGGGGTCAGTTGTCTCCTTCGAGCATGTGGCTTCCAGCACCACAATTCAGGTGGTCAGGTTTGGTGGTTGGTGGTAAGCACCTTTGCCAACCAGCCGAGCCATCCTGCCAGTCCCACTTTGTTTTTATTCTTTCTTCTTCTTCTTCTTTTTCTTCTTCTTCTTCTTCTTCTTCTTCTTCTTCTTCTTCTTCTTCTTCTTCTTCTTCTTCTTCTTCTTCTTCTTCTTCTTCTTCTTATTATTATTATTATTATTATTATTATTATTATTATTATTATGTTGTTGTTTTTCTCATGTGACAGGGTTTCTCTGTGTAGCTCTGGAGCCTATTCTGGCACTCTCTCTGTAGACCAGGCAGGCCACAAACTTGCATAGATCCTCCTGCCTCTGCCTCCTGACTGCTGGAATTAAAGGTGTGCGCCACCACCACCGGACATAAGTTTTGTGTTTGTGAAACTGGGTCTCGATATATAGTTTTGATTGACCAGCAACTTGCTATATAGATGAGGCTGGCCCCAAACGCATAGAGTTCTGCCTGCCTGTGCTTCCCAAATGCTGGGACTAAAAGGGCGTACCACAGTGTCTGACCCACTTTAGTTTTTGAGTCTCTCATTGGTCTGAAACTCACTAAGTAGGCTAGGCTAGTTGGCCAGCAAGAATCCCAGGGACCTGCCTACTTTTGCCTGTGCAGTGCCGAGGAGTGTGTGCTACCACACCTAACTTCCTAACTTTTTTTTTTTTTTTCCATGACAACGTTTCTCTGTGTAGCCTTGGCTGTCCGGGAACTCACTCTGTAGACCAGGCTGGCCTTGAACTCACAGAGGTCAACTTGCTCTGCCTCCAGAGTGTGAGGATGTAAGGCGTGCACCACTACCACCACTTCCCAGCCCTGACTGTTTTTTGTTGTTGTTGTTGTTTTACACAGGTTAGAAGGCCTGAATTCAGGTCAAGGACTTGACTGCCAGAGCTGTCCTCCCAGCTCACCAACAGACTCTTAACGAGTCTTTCCTTTAGCGCGATTCCTGGACTCTCTCTCATCAGTTCCAACAACACAATTTCCTTGTATTAGCCCATCCTGCTTTCCTTCTCGCACCCCCTTCTCCCCACACTTTCTTTCTCCAGTGTCTGAAACTGCTGTGTCTTGTCAGGCAGCAATTGGAAGAGATTCGTCAAAAGCAGGAACAGCAGGAGAACCCAGGCACCAAAAAGCGAAAGGAAAACAAGGACCAGAACCAGGGTGAATCAGCTGGGGAGAAAAGCCGATCAAGAACAGGAGCACGGAGCCTTATCACCAACTTGGCTTATAGGAACCGGAACCGGGAGAAAGAGGTGTCAGGGGCTGTGGCTCTTATCTTTTCACACGAAACTCAATTGGGACCACTAGAGAAGGGACTCCCCGCTGTCCTCTCCTCTCCTTGCTTGAGAGAGATGAGTCTCTAACTAGTAAATTGAATCTGATCCTTTGGAACAGAAGGGGAGAGGATGGACAGCTAAGGGAACCTTACATTACAGTAGGGTCTGGGGAGGGAAAGAAGTAGAGCGGGGCAGGGGTCCTGCAGCCATCCTTGCTGACGGTGTGAGCCTCATCTTGGACATCCTGTATCTCTCCTGTGCCTCGTAGCTGATCCCAGTACACATGGACTCCATGCAGCCTCAGGACATTGTGGAAGAGGAAGAGCTTGAGCGGATGAAGCTCCTGTTACAAAGAGAGAATCTTATCCGAAGCCTGGGTATTGTAGAGCAGCTCACCCGCATGCTGTACCCCAGCCACCAGGGCCACAGAAAGCTTCATGAGTATCGGGTGAGGGTCCCTGCGAAGCCTCTCACAAAGCCAGGGAACAAGGGCTGTGACACCAACACGTGGTGGTGGTTACACCAAAGGAGGTTTATGTGATGGTAACTATCACTGGAGCCTGGGAGAGGGTCTGTTGGTCCCATAATGGCTGTTGCCAGGCCCCCTTGGGTTTGGTATTGCCACCCAGCAAAGTGCAGCTCCCAACTTTCTCAATGGCAAAAGATGTGCTCTATCCCTATTTCATAGTAACCCGCAACTTCTGACTGACAAATAAGAAGACTACCACATGCCCAGTGGCTTCTGTGTAATCGCCCTAGCACTGCCAATGCCCTGGCTCTATGGGAGCTAAGTAAACAGTCTTGGGCCAACAAAACAGCTGCCGTTTTCACTATTCCCTGGGCTAGTAACAAACCTGTTGGCCCCTCTGTTTTTGTTGAACCCCAAAAGAATAACTAGTTAAACAGTGGCTGTGGCCTAGAAGAGATTGTTCTATGTTTTAGTTACGTATTTCTTCCAACATTCTACCCAGCCTCGCAAGAAATATGGTAAGGGGCTGCTCTTCTCCTCTAGCCTAGATTTCACCAGGACGGGCTGGGCAGTCAGGAACTGCAACCTGTGAATTTGGTCCCATTGGTGTTCCTGAGAGGGGCTGCCACAGAACAGGTCCCTCCTCATTTCTTGCAACCACTTCGGCCCCATGAATTGATCCCCAGGATCTTAGGGCCACTGTCAAGCATGACTCCCGCAATTGCACAGCATTCTCGGTACCATCTGCAGCCCAAGAGCGTCAACTGGATAAGAGATCCAGCAACCATTGGCGCCTGTTCATTGTCAATGAAGAAATCTGGGAGGCAGTATTTTTCCAGCTCTAGAGTCAGGCTCACTAGCCGTAAGTATACAAAACTAGCTTTGGTCACTTTGACTGGTGTGAATTCCCAGTAGCGAATATTACAGCTGGGATGCTTCCAAGACAAAAAGTGGCACGCCTGGTAGTGTAGCAATGGGGGAAGGCGGTGGACCCGCTTATCTACTTGCTGCTATCTAGTGACCCTGGTGATAGACAGAGCAGAAACAGCCCCAGTCAGTCCTCGACAGAGGTTGACAGGGAAATGGACGCGTAAACAGACTAATTAAAATACAGTGTGGTAAAGATGCTGGAGGGAAGCATGGGATGCCATTCTTCTGTGTAATTGGACCACAGTTGGGAAAGAGGTGAGAACATCTCTTCCATGAGTACCCCAACTTAGTGGGGAATCCATGTTTCTACCGCAGAAGGCCAAGCCAGCAGAAGGCTAGAAGCCATAAACCGAGCCCTGCCAGGATCAGTGCCACCCACTTTAACCCCAAAGCAGGGCTGCCTTCTCCAGCCCGACAGACAGCAAAGTGACTCATGGACCGAATGCTGCACGTTGCCCTCCATGGTAAACTCTGAACACAGAGGAGCCAAGGCTGGGGATATCACCCTTTGCCCCGCCTCTGCGCCTGTGCTGCAGCATTCCAGCCCACTCCTCAACATCATCCAACACAGGTAAAAGAAGGGACGCCCAGCACGCAACCAAAAGAGCAAATGGCCTGCAATCATTGCTCATTCAAAGACTGCCACCAAGTTCCAGTTTGAAAAGCTCTGGCCAGGACCTTTGTTGGCAAAAGGCATAGCCCAAAGACACCAAGGATTCTTCAACATTCTAAGATTCTTTGGGGAAATCGGTTAAAAAAAAAAAAAAAGACGAAGAGCTAAGGCCAGCATGAATGCATCTCTGCTCGTCAAACCTTAGGCTGGGTTTCTCGCTAAGTGGTGGGTCTGAACCCTGGGGCTGGAGGTCACTGGGCAACAAGAAGTTCCTTTCCTAGTGGAGTCAAAAGCCCAAGGTACGGTTTAGTCACCATCAGAAGATTGCTGAGGGTCCGCCCTTCCTGCCACAGTGGCAGAATCAGGCAGGCCTGGGCAGCCTGTGCCAGAGGGGTGGCTCTGGGCAATGAACTCGTCTTTTTATTAAAGTTTATGTCGTTTTCCAGGCGCGTCCTGTACCTCCTTTCGATCCTCGCGTCTGAGGCAAGCTCTTCTCACAGTTACAGTAGGGAAGCCCAGCGTGGTGGCTCGGCCCTGTAATCCCAGTTACTTGGGAAGCTGAGGCAAGATGATGATGAACTCAGGCTAGGATAGTTCAGTCTCAAAATGTTTGGTTTTCTTTTAAATGGCGAAGGAGACCATTTGCCTAGCATGTACGAGGACCTGGCTTTGCTCCCCAGCACCGCAAAAACAAAATAAGAAAAGGGTGGGCAACTGGGCAGTACAAGGGCAACCTCCGCCTTTTGGTAAACTGAAGGCTCACGGTCCCGCCCTACTTCCGGTTCTCCATTCTGCTTCCGATCCCGCCCGCTCGCTTCCGGTCGCGAGCTGCTGAGGACTGTCTTGGGTCGCGATGGCGCTTACCCTGAGCCTCTGGTTCGGCGGTCGTGTCCGGGCTGCTGTCGCTCGTTGTGGGTTCGCGACCCAGGGCGTGGCGGGACCGGGCCCGCTCAGCCGCGAGCCGGACCCCGATTCCGACTGGGAGCCGGAGGAGCGGGCGCTCCAGGAGGTGGAGAGGTACCGGCTCCTTGGAGGGCCCTCAGCCTGAAGCTAGGCCTCCTGCCCCCCAGTTCCGGGCGTCCAGCGACCGCGTCCGCAGAGGCTCTAGTTTCTTTTCACCCGTTGTTGAGGGCGCAGGGGCAAGTGGTCAGCTCCCCTGGGACCCCTGGGACCATCGCTAGTGATGTGTTTCGTCTCCCGCTCAGAGTTGGGCATGCTTATGATCAGGTGTTAGATTTCTGGGCGGTGTACAGAGAGTTGCTTTGACCTGGCAGACATGGCCGGGCTGCCTTTGTGGGCAAACAAGGGGGCTGGGCTCTCCGTGCTGTAGTCCGAAGCTCTTTAAACACCCATCTTGCTTCCACGCATGGCTTCTGCCGTTGGTTCTTTCCCCCAGCACTCTGAAACGACAGAAAAATGCAATACGATTCCAGAAAATTCGAAGGCAAATGGAGGCTCCCGGTGCGCCACCCAGAACACTGACGTGGGAAGCCATAGAGCAGATCCGGTAAGATTCTGTTTTCAAAATGAGGTTCACTTCTTGAGGATTTTAATTTTGTTGACTTTTCAGCAGAAGTGCGCTGCCATTATGGACGGTTGGTTGGTGGCTTTGGGTTTTTGTTTTGGAACAAAGTTGGTATTTGTAGAGGCCCAAACGCCTAACATCCGAATAGAACACGATGTCCTCCTGAGATCTTGCAGAGGAAGTTTCCGCGTTTATGTGCGTTGTCTTTGGAAGAGAACTGTGATTTACAAGTATTGGAAGGAAACTTTTTTTTTTTTCCTCGAGACAGGGTTTCTCTGTGGCTTTGGAGCCTGTCCTGGAACTAGCTCATGTAGACCACGCTGGTCTCGAACTCACAGACATTCGCCTGCCTCTGCCTCCCGAGTGCTGGGATTAAAGGCGTGCACCACCACCGCCCGGCTGGAAGGAAACTTTCTTCTTGACAGTCTCATGCGGCCCAGGCTGGCCTCTAGCACACTGTAGCCGAGGACGGTCCTGAACTCCTTATCCTCCTGAGTGCTGTGTGTGGGTGGGAGAGTGCAGGTATGTGCCAGCTCGCTTGCATTTTTTTTTTCTCTTTGGGGGGACAGGGCTACTCTGTAGACTGGGGTAGCCTGGAATCTGGAATTCTTGGCAGTCCACCTGCCTCTGCCAAGTGCTAGGATTATAGGATTACATGGTGTGTGAGCCACCACTATTGCTTAAAAGGGGTCTTAAAAGAATTTTTTTTGTTTCTTTTTTTTTTTTCTTTCTATCTATTAAGGTCTCTTTTAGGAGCTGGGGCGATAGCTCACTCGGTAGCTTGCCTGGCAAGTGTGGGGACCTGAATTTGGTTCCCGTTATGCCTGCTATTGTAATTGTAATTCCAGCATTGGAGAAATGGGAAGCAGAGACGAGACAAGGCACATCCCTGGAGCTGCAAGGCCAGTTGGTCACCTCCATGGTAAACTGCAGGCCAGTGAGACCCTGTCTCAAAAGGATAGACGGCATCAGAGGACCAACATTAGAGATTGCCCTCTGACCTCCATGCACCAAGACACACATGTGCACCCTCTACAGATGAACATACACACAATTTTTTTTTAGATCCTGTTTTAGCTAGATTTGGCCAGCATATAGCTGTAATCCCACTACGGAGGAGGTGTGGGACAGAGGCAGGTGGATCTCCCTGAAAGCCCCAGTGACCTACATTCTGAGTTTGAGGGCAGCCAGGACTGCATAGTGAGATTCGTCTCAAAACAAACATTTGAGAAAGTCTTATTTATCCCAGGCTGGTCTGGAATGTGCTCCTTGGCTGAGATGCTTCCTTCCTGACTCTCTTAAGTGCTGGGATGACATATGTGTACCACATCTGTTTATATGAAGTGTGCAGGATTGGATCTGGGGCCTCATGCATGCTTAACCAAACCGCTACAAACTGAATTACATCTTAAAATCCCTCTTTTTTGCTTTTTCTAAGTTTTTTGTTTTTTCATCTGCTTGGTTTTGCTTTGCTTTTTGAGACAGTCTTCACTTTGTAGTTCAGTCTGGCTTGAAACTCTTGATCTCTGCCCTCTCTTCAATCCTGGGATTACAGAAGGGTGCTGTTAGTCCTCCCTCTGCTCCACCTATAACACGGTGCATATTGAGAATTATTTGCTCTATTTGTTTGTGTTGTTTTGCTTTTCCCCTAGGACAGGGTTTCTCTGTGTAGCCCTTGCTGTCCTGGGAACTCAATTTATAGACTAGGCTGGCCTTGAACTCAGAGATCCGCCTGCCTCTGTCTCCTGGGTGCTGTGATTAAAGGCGAGTGCCACCACCATCCAGCAAGTTTTCATCTCTTAAAACACAAACTGCATACTATAAATTCTGTTCCAATCTTTTCTTTTTACACTCACTGTGTACTTTTGCTTTGTCCATTTTAGTAGTGAGCTCCTGGGCGGGAGTGGAGCTCAGAGCATTTATCTAGTAGGCACGAAGCCCTGGGGTCAGTCCCAAGAACCACCACCTTCCCTTCCTGACCTGGGAATAAAAGTATTACTTAAGTCTTTAGTAGGTGCACAGTGAGCCACAGTTTATCTTACCTGTCTTCTGTTAAAGGTGTTTAAATTCTTTCCCTTACAAAGCATTCTCCAAGCCAGGGAGGAAGTGAGGAGTGGGGTGGTTGCTCTCTCCACAAGTTCAAGGACAGCCTGGGCTAAACAGAAACCCTATCTCCAAACCAAAATAAATAAAGAAATATTAAAGATAAGAAGAGCTCTCCAGTAAACAGCTTTGTATATGTAGTATGCAGCATATCTACTAGAAATAAGATATTTGCATTATAATAAATAGTAATAAGTAGCCCTGTGTTGACTATATACCCTTTTCCATTTGTATGAGAAAGACTCTAACAAAGAGAACACTGTAGAGCTGGGTAAAGACTTTGCACGTCTCCTGGATACCCAGGAAACTGTACTATTGCTCATCCCCAAGGTTCTGAGAATCCTCTTCAGAGCCTCAAACACACTGGGTAAGTACTCTGCCACGGAGGAATAGTCTCAGGCTTTTTTTCCTTTGGAGATAAGGTCTCTGTAGCCCTGGCTGACCTCAAGGTCATAGAGATGGGCTTGCTTCTGCCTCTGGAGTGTTGGGATTTAAAGATATGTGCCACCATTCCTGACTTTTCTGCCACTTGGGAAATAGCTTTTAACCAACCTTCCAGCTTCCTCCCTATCAGGTCCTTGCCTGTAGTCAATAAATGTCCTTTAGCTTCAATGGGAAAAACAGGTCACCAAGTAAACCTGCCAGGTTCCTGTTCTTGTTCTTTACCGCCCATTATCTTGCAAATGACAGAAAGCTGTCAGCCGAACTATTTCCTGATGCAGTTAATGGTTCCCGTGCTTCTTGCTCTGCTAGCAGTATCTTTGCTTTCTCCTTTGTCTTTTTCCGGCTTACTCCTGACCTTTTAGATCATCTCTATGTTGGACTTCGCTGTTTGCACACAGTATAGAATTAATTGGTACAGTCTAAGGGCTGCCTTCAGTCTTCCCCAAACTCTTTTACTTATTTGTCACTAGCATTATCACTTCTAATTCTTCTCATAGGAGACTTACTCGCAATCTGAAAAACTGCTGTTTTTCCATAGGTATTTACATGAGGAATTTGCAGAGTCCTGGTCGGTTCCCAGGTTGGCAGAAGGCTTTGATGTCAGCACTGATGTTATCAGAAGGGTTTTAAAAAGTAAGTTTGTTCCCACTTTGGAGCAGAAACTGAAGCAGGATCAGAAGGTCTTGATAAAAGCTGGTTTCGCCCTGGCTTCTGGAGATGAGCTGAAGTCACTCAGTGCAGGGCATTCTGTTTCTGGCCTGCTGCCTCCAGGGGATGAAGTTTCGTCTAAACATCAGACTCACAGCACAGCAGGTGCACAGAAGAGCCAGAAAGAAAGGACTAAAAGAGAAAGCTTGCTGCCTGCCACTGCGGCCCCGGGCCATCAGAGAAAGCGTGAGAAGCACACCACCAGCGAATCGGAAGCCACCAGAAGAGCTGACGGTGACAGAGCGGCAAGTGTAGAGAAGCCGGGGGAGCTGAAGGCTGGGGAGCCACGTGACCAGAATTTCACCAGCAAAGTCGTACAGAGGGGACGTGAGTTCTTTGACAGCAATGGGAACTTTCTCTACAGAATTTGAGCCTGGGCCTGACTTTCAGAGATGCCTTCACACAGCTGAGCAAGTAGATTTGCAGTTGCCAGCATTCCTGCCGATTTGGAAGAAAAATTAAGGCTAGAATGTGGGTGGAGGAGCTACTTGGCTAGAGTCAGACTTCTGGAGTAAGCCCCATTGGACCCTGTGGATCTAAATACTCATTCATCCTTACTGCTTGCTCTCTCTGTTGAGAACAAGTATTACATGTCATGAATGTCTGTTACTGTGTTGGGAGGAAATGGAAAGCCTGCCTCCTGACATTTCTTTTTTGATCACTAACTGTTCTCGCACAGTTTAATCAGTTGGTTTCCTTATGTGCAAAATAAAGTGTAGCAGTTCGTTGCTTGGTGCTCTGTGGATTGGGATTTTCCTGTAAACTTTGGAGTGGTGGACTAGAAAAGGTGGAAAGGAAAAGTATTCTTTGTCATTAAATTTTGGTAGATGGCACGAGAAGAATCCCACCCAACAAAAGGCTCCTGTGCACAGCACTCCCCTCAGTGATAAAGTTTAAAATTAGATTTTGTATGTGTGCCACAGTGCACGTGCAAATGTCATGAGACAACTTGTAGCAGTGTTTTCTCTTTCCACCATGCCTGTCCTGGAAATATGGCTTAGGTTGACAGCAAGTGCTTGTATCTGCCGAGCTGTGCCACGAGCTCTCACGACAACCAAAACTTGGACATTTTGAATTGCTGGGGTTCTGAAAACCATTTAGGAATGGGAACAACAGAGCAGCTTTGAAACAAAGGTTAAAGTCTTAGAGTCCCTAACACATTTCCCCAAACTATGCTAAAGTTAAACTGTATTTGATAGTCCAGTAGATGCCAGGCTTTTCTTAAAGATGGGAGTGTGGGGGCTGGAGAGATGGCTCAGTGGTTGAGGGTACTGGCTTTTCTTCCAGAGGTCCTGAGTTCAATTCCCAGCACCCACATGGTGGCTCACAGCCATCTGTAATGAGATCTGGCGCCATCTTCTGGTCTGCAGGTATATATGCAGACAGAATACTGTCTACATAATAAATAAATCTTTAAAAAAAAAAAAAAAAAAGATGGGAGTGTGTAGGGAACTCGGTCCCTGAACAAATGAACAGACCCTACGATGCCTGCTGGTAAATGGTAGTTCTGGGACTAAACCCAAGCCACTTTTAAAATCCTAGCAATACAGCACTATGTGGCATAATTTCTGGCTGTTTTAGGAGTTAACACTAAAATAAATAAATAAATAAATTGTAGTAGGAAATGAGAACTTCAGCAACAAGAATTCAGTAACACGTTTCCTTTGTGCCTCATTCTAACACCTGGTCAGCTATAATTGGTACTCATAAGTGATGTTGTCACTTAAAACCTGGCCATCCCAACGTGACATTACTATTTATTAGAGTCTAGCTATCTGAAATGTTGATAAAAGTAGTTATAACACTGACTGCTGTCTTCGTTGTTTTTGAAATATCTTCTTACTAGCCCAGGCTGGCGTGAAACAGCAGTTCCTTCCCCCAGCCTTGGAAGAGCTGGGACTACAGGCTTCTGATGTTGTTTCCCTCGCGGCTTCCCCAGTCACCCAGGCTAAAGCAGCTCTGTCAGGTGTTCTGTGTTGCGCCGGTCCGGCAGAGAAGGAGAGTCGCCCCAGAATGTAATTAGGCTCTCTGGCAGCAGGGTGGAATAGTTGCTGAGAACGGAACCCAAAACTTCTGTTCAGAACCATATTTATTGGCAGCTGATCACAAAGGTTGTGGTTGGGATACAACAAGTTCCTCATGTCAGAAGCCCTTTTTTTTTTTTTTGGTTTTTCGAGACAGGGTTTCTCTGTGGCTTTGGAGCCTGTCCTGGAACTAGCTCTGTAGACCAGGCTGCCCTCGAACTTACAGAGATCCGCCTGCCTCTGCCTCCCGAGTGCTGGGATTAAAGGCGTGCGCCACCATCGCCCGGCCAGAAGCCCCTTTGATTTATCCTACATGTTATCTGAAGAAAACCATCACACCTGCGACCTATAGTTACATTGTGTACTGTTGCAGTAACCAACGATAGAAGACCTCCAGGTGTGCCTGGATAGTCTTGTGACCAAAGATGGACGGATGAATAAGCCCTTCAGGAAAATAACTATAAATCATAGAAAATAATCACTGTTCTTTACATGATTTCTTCAAGGTCCAGGTACCTTCAGCAACATCAGTCATGAAACCTAGATACACCGAGAAACAATTATTACATTTTATGTTCACTCCAGATAACAGTGACTACGAGACTCCCACCACACAACTGTCTTCATGTTCTGTGACCCTGCCCTTATTTCCTGCAATTTGAGAAATTAATGCTATCACCTTCTCTCATTTTGAATGACGACCCCACGGAGGCAGGAGACCTATGCATTCATCACTGTGTTCCCAACTACTACCAGATTGGCTAAGCTCCTAACTACTGCTGTATTGGTTAAGTGAGGAGATGGCTGAAGGACCTCCTAACAATCAGTGAATCTTTTATGGCTCTAAGCACCACCACCTTTTAGGTTTGCCATCTCACTTACCCAGATCTCAGCCAAGGGACATAAACTTCCAAAGCAATCTTTCCTGCTGTGTCCTGTTGTCTCACAAGTGTTTGGAAGCAGCCTTGGCTGGGAGACTGGACTGTGGGGTTGAATACAGTTCCAGTCCTGTATCCACTGGGCTGTGGTTACAAGACTTCATGGGTCCCTGTTTTGGGGCCGCCCTCTTCGATGACACAATGAAGAACACCACACCGAAGGAGGGAGGCCTGCACTTAGGAGCTCAGTCGCCGTGGGTGCTGGAAGAAGAAAAGTTTCAGGTTTCACTTGAGCTAGAAAGGAAGCAGCTCTGGAGGAGTGGGCGCCTAGACAGCTTGGGTTGGCAGACCACAGCAGAATGGATTTGGCTGCACACTTCGCTGCTTTACGAAACAAGGGCCAGAAGGCATCTCAGGGCACTTCTGTCCCTCAGTGCAGCAGACATCAACCTAGAGAGGATGCAGTGAGGTCAGGCAGAGGTGAACACAAATGAACTGAAGCACTGTATGAGCTCAGGCCTTTTTAAAATGCTTATTTTTTAAAACTTCACTTAAATTCATTTATTTTAATGGCGTTGGAGAGTGAACCACCCAGTCTGTTTTATAAGTGGCTTTCCCAGTTGGTTTGTCTTCCAAACAGGATTCATATCAAGTAACAGTACATTTTGTTGTTATGTTCTTGAAGTCTTTTAACCCTTTCTGGGGAATAAGATAACAAATTCAAGCGACTAGGGAAAAAGAAACGTATTAATAAACCATTCTGCAGAAAGGGATGCCAGCATAGAGAACAGGCAAAAGTAGCTGGAATGCTGATTTGGTGCAAGATGGTAGTTTTTAAACTAAGCATGAGAAATTCCTTTCCTCTATTCCCCATAGGCAATTTGGGACTCAGTTTAGCATCACCCTCTTCTCAAATTCATCCTACTGGTTTAGAAGGCAAAACCTTGAGGCTTGAGACCGCTCCCCTTTTTGCAGCTGACTGTAACTTTATTTATTTAGAGATAGGGTCTCTATCACCAGCTGTACTGCAACTGCATAGACGAGGCTGGTCTTGAACTCACAGAAGACCCTGCCTCTGCCTCCCAGTACTGGGTAAGTTAAAACCATGGGTCATCATGCCTGGCCTTCATAATATATTTATTAAACCTTTTATTCCAGAATAATCCCACTTTTCGCCTCTTTCCCCCTCGTCATTGATTTTGAGAAGCAAGGCCATTGTCCCAGATGAGCTCCTGCTCTGAGGGAGTCAGGGTCTGGGAGGTGGGAGGCGTCCAGAGGTTGAGGTTGAGTCCTTGCTAGTTCTCCAGCTTATATTTTGAGGCAGGGTCTTTTGCTGAACCCAAAACTAGGCAATTAGGTTAGGCTAGCTAGATAGCTTGCCTGAGGGATCCCCAGCCTCTGGCTAAGGAGTGCTGAGGTTACTAAGGGGATGCCATGACCACTTAGCATTTTTGTGGGTGTTGGGGAGCCAAACTCTAGTCATCACGCTTTATCCTCTGAGCTGTCCCCGGCTTACCTCAACCTTCTCCCTCCTTTCCTTCTCGGAGACAGAATAGCCTTGAACTGATCCTGTCTCCACCCAAGGGCTGGGATTTACAGACACCTGTTAAGATGTCAGACTGCCTGTTTTTGTTTTGTTTTTAAAAAAAAAAAAGCCCAAAGTCTTAGACATTATCCATTTCCCCATACTTTCCTATTTATGTATTTTCTCAGTCAATTCCTATCTGCAACAGCATGGTTGAGACCTATAAACAGAGTCCTGCCCGCCATGTCCTGAATAACCACATAAAAAGCTTATATTAATTACAAATGTTTGGTCTATAGCTCAGGCTTATTCACTAGCTCTTACAACTTAAATTAACCCACTTTTTATTAAATTTTTCCACGTGGATTCTTGACTTTACCTGTTCTCTAGCACATATTGTTTCCCCGCCAACTGATTCCTTCATCTCCACCCTTCTCTCTGTATTTTCTGTTTGGCCTTATTCTGCCTTGCTATAGGCCAAAACAGCTTCTTTACGAACCAAATGAGAGGAATACATCTTCACAGCATGCAGGATTATCCCAAAGCAGAGACCTTGTCTCAAAAACAGAACCTCTGTGTAAGTAGCACCATACGGAGGTACTTCTGTTTTGCCTCTTTATTCATTTGTAGCATGACTGTGCCACAAGCTTATTTATTTTTCCCATAACGGCCATTAGCAAATTAGAACTCCGATATCCAAAGGTCACAACCGGCAATCCTTAATTTCATAGTCCAACATATTCACCCCTTTCCAAACTGCTCAAGCTCACATATACCTTCTACCACCAGGAAGCCAAGGACTGCATAGTCAGAGGCTAGATTGACAGTTGGGACTCCAGCAGTCCGTATTCTGCAGATTAGATTTCGCCCACTTTTCGAAATTTAAAATACAGGAAGGGCTCAATCTCTACTTGAACGGAACTACAATTTAGTCTGTTGTATTCTTAAAATGTATCCCTCCCAGGGATCTGGAGTTTGACGAATAGGCAATTAACAAGGTATAATCTCTTTATCCAAGGAAAAAACTCTGGTCACGAATGGGGTTGGAAAGCTCCTAAGCGGTCAAGAGCGTTCCCAGCACTTGCGTCTGGCAACTCAGAGCGGCAGCTTCAGGAAGTATGGAACGTTCGTCTAGTTTTTGCAGGCACCCACACACACATGGCCTACATTCGCGCATGCACACACGCACATAAATAAAAGTATACCCGTAAAAAACCTAACTCGTCGCCTCCTGTTTTGAAATGTCCCTTTCCGGACGCCGTCCTCTCCCAGTGTTCTGAGCGCCGACCGGGAGAACCGGA